ATTTGTGATCCTTCTAAAATAATGTTGGTGATGTGAATAGAGTGTAGCCCCTGTTTCCGTTATCTGGTGCTTGAATACAGCTCCCGGTGAGTTAAAATCTGAATTCATTTGGTGACCAATTTTCCAAAGCTGGTGTGCCAAGATGAACCCACTTGAAAACTGTGGGCTCTCGGACTTGGCTGCAAGGCCCGTCCAGCTGAGGTGGGCTGGCCTAGCATCTGCTGCCTTCATTGTGCTTAATGCTGGATCCATCTGTTTTCTGTCAGAGCCAGTGCCAACAAATTACTAATCTATTAGAGAAACATGGAAATAAGATTGCACTCCTCATTCCTGGCTTTTCCTCTCATATTTTGCTTGGCTTACATATTTGGTTTTTATTTATTTTGGGGAGAATGGTACATTATCGAGTAGGCAAAGTGAAGGGGTGTGAATCATTTACTCCTACACATTTTTAAAAGATTATGGGGAAAAGATTGTATTAGTGATTATTGATAATATTATTGTTGATGATCGTGATGATAGCTATAATTTATTAGGTAATTCCATGCTTGGCGCTGTACTAGTCACTTTCTGCCCGTTGCCCATTAATATTGTTACTTCATCTGTCAAAACTCATGTTCCAAGAGGTTAAATAAGTTGTCCAAGGTCGTGCCCCTAGAAAGTGTCAGAACCAGTATTCAAATCCAGTTTCTACAGCCTGTGCTTTATCTGTTGCTCCCTCTTAAGCCGTTTAAAGCCTTTAGAAACCATTTTTATCCAGGCATGTGAGTTTAATGAGGAAAGTCTTTTAAAGTTTCAAGGAGAAGAAAAGGGAACTTTGTATTTCTTCCACCAAATAGAGGCCTCTATAATTAGAACGTATTCCCTTGACATGTGCTTTTGAGTGCCAGTTTGTGAAATCAGCCCAACTGATTGAGGGAAAATAAGACTGGGAGCCCAGCATTCAATGGGCCTTTCTAAGCACGAGTGCACGCATGCGTGTGGGTGTGCATGGTGGTTGTGCTCTGATGCATATTCTCCTGGATTACAGAATGCTTCCTGCTGTGCAATGAAGACCAGCTGTGGAACTGAGCAACACTATTGAAACAGAGCTCTTCTCTTCTTATCACATAAAATGAATGAGAAAGATAGAAGATGGGGACAGTGGTACTGGACATCTCAGTTGTTTTCCTTTGTGGTTCCTAAAATACAGCCCCTGACTGGCAGTTAAACCCAAGGTGCAGGAACCCAGAGGGACAGTATTTCTCTGTTCCAAGTATGAGCAGCATTCTACTTCAACTATAGGCAGGATTTAGCAAAACCAAGGACCTTCTTCTCATATCAAGTGTATTATGGGCTTAGTCTGCAATAACCATGTAAATGCTTGTTTTCTAAAACAAGATTAAAGTGTCATTTCATTTCCTTCGAAAGCAAAGGGTACATATGTTTTCACTGAATTACGTTTCTTACCAAATGAGTCACTTACCAAGTGTTGAGGGAGGGAGAGTGGAAACTAGCTACAGAGGAACAGGAAGAATATGTGGATTAATTTTGTTTGCATTCAAGCTACAAATGAGTTTATTTTTAATAAAAGCAAGAGCCAAGGAAGAGCACTGTATCTCACTGATGTTATCAGACAGTCTGGAGGGAAGGGCTGAGAGGCGGATGGGGTGGGGAGGGGTGAGCCTTCATCCTGCCACAGAGCAGAGTTCCAAGGACTGTGCTCCGGGACAGGAAGAGGGGGACACAGCATCTTGTCCACTGCTCTGCGACCCCCCCATCCAGTGTGAGCATAAGGTGCCCTTTCCTCTGAGACAGTGTGATGGGAAAGTAGACGGGGACTGTCTATGTGGTCCCATGGGACAGCAGATTCAGAGTCGCCTCAAAACTTTTTATAAAGAACTTCAAAATTGATAACAGTGAATGTTTACCTTTTGTGTTGTGTTGTGTAAGTTGCTCAGTCATGTCCGACTCTTTGCGACCCCATGGACCCACCAGGCTCCTCTGTCCATGGAATTCTCCAGGCAAGAATACTGGAGTGGGTTGCCATTCTGTTCTCTAGGGGATTTTCCCAACCCAGGGATCTAACCCAGGTCTCCAGCATTGCAGACAGATTCTTTACCATCTGAATCAGTGTTTACTTAAAAACAATATCAGGTTGATTATTTCTGCAATGGCAGGGTATCTTCTTGAAAACATGGTTTATAGTTGAGGTGCTGGCATAAAACACTGACTTGCATGCAGCTCAGGGGCACCTGAGGTGGTTTGTATTGAACTTCTGCTGTCCCTTCTCTTCCCTTTCATTTTCCTGTCCGTTCCAGCTCCTCAGATGGCCAGTGCCGTGCTCTGCTGTTCCTCCCCAGCCCTTGGACTTCCAGGAATACCCTGGGGAAAGTAGCTGCCGCCTTTAGCAGGTCACTTCTGTGCTGATGGAGCACTTCCTTAAGGAGCTTGTCCCAAGACTGGTCTGTCACAGGGCTCAGTGGCTCGTGGCCACTCTGGCCGGCCACTGTTTGTAAATAAAGTTTTATTGGAGCACAGGTGCTCCGATGTATGTGTGTGTCACCTCTGGCCACGTCAAGGCAGCAGTGGCGGTTTAGTTTTGACAGAGATCATCCAGCCCACAAAGCCTAAAATGCTCACCCTTCAGCAAGTAATACGCTTCATGGACAGCCATGTGCGAGAGTTCACAAGCAGCACCTAACGAAGAGCTGACATCAGTTACTGTTGAAAACTCTGGGCTTCTTACAGGTTTGGACGTGCCCTTAAGAAAACCTGCTTTCACGATTGTGATGATGCTGTTATGTCAGTGCGGTTTTCCGTTAAGTATTTGAGAGGCCAGTCAGAGGTGCAGCTAGCGGAATACAGTGTACAGACCACGGCTCTCAGGCCGGGCCTGTTAGCCACATGACCTTGGGTCAGGTCACTCTGCATACTGCCTCAGGCTCCTCCTCCCTAAAGTGAGGACACTAGTGACTGGGTTCTCTTAAGCTTGATGTAAGGATGAAAGGAGGTAATGCAAAGAACTTGGAGCTGAGGTTAGCACACATGAAACATGGACTGCTGGGTTTTATTGTTGTTGCTGATCTAATCCAGTTTCTGCTGGAAAAACCTGAGGAAGCCCCCCCTCACCTTCAGAACATGCCCCAGGCTGGGAAGCCTGGTGAGCAGGGCCCTCTTCCCTCTGCGCCCTTCTCACAGCTGCACCAGCTCAGCAGTGCCTTGCTGTCACGTCTGCTCTCGCTGTCTGTGCTGTTGTTCACTGCCTCACCCACAGGGGCCCTCTGTCCTCTTCTGCGTTATTCTCATCCCGCCAGTAACCCCAACCACTTCTACACCCATATTTGAGACAATTTACACAAATTACATCATTTAATCCTAACAGCAACTCTTCAAGTATACCAAAACAAAGAGGATCCTCTCTGTTTTAAAGGGAAGAGAATGAAACCAAGAAAAATTAAAAAACAACTTACATAAGGTCACATGGTTGGTATATTCACAGAGTTTTTACTCAGCCCCAGTTCTCCCAGATCCCAGAGCCCACCCCACACAGATTCCTGGGTCAAGCCCCAATGTGGTTTTTCAAAGACCTTCACTCAGCCTGCCCCCTGTGGATGACCCCCTGTGTTCCTACCCTGCAAGGACTCACTCTTCTTTGTCTTACAGTTTTTACAGTGCCTTATCTTTTCTGTTTTTGCTTTTGTATTTTTTCTTGTCTTTCCCCTGCTACTTCACCTTGTACACATACACATACACACACACACACACATTCACATTCTTATGTTGTGAACTTCTTGAGTATAGGAATTGCATTGTATTTAACCTTACATCCCCTGTGCCTAGAACAGTTACGTTATATAGATGAGATTCTTCCAGGAAGTGGTAAGGACAGATGGAGAAATACTAATCCATACTCTCCAAACACTTCTCCTTTTACATATATTTCGTTTCCACAGTCACTTATTGGGAGGCAGCATATTTTATTGGTTAATTACATTGGTTCCATAATCATTTTGCTTGAGCTTGAATCCTAACCTACTAGCTCTTGATTTTCTTCTTTTGTCAATGCAGTCATGGTCATATCTATATTTCACATAATTATTGGAGGAATGAATGAAATCATAGATGCAAAACCCTTAACCTGATATCTCACACATAGTGTGTGTGGTTTAGCAGTTATTATTATCAAAGTGGCATTATACATGCCTTCAATTTAGTTGACTATAATTTATGTACCCTCAACCAAAATAAAAGGTGTGGAAGGAGAGAGAAAACAAAATTGTTGAACTAGTCCAGGCCATCTACTCCAGGAGCGTGTGCCCCGTGTGAGCAGGGATGGGGGGTGAGATTGCAGACGCTTATCTCAGTCTCAGATCCTGCCTGCTTGCTGTAGTGCCACCATCCTGCTTTGCTGATGCCATACTTGTGCTTAAAACTTACTTAAAAGACATGGTGCCAGGTATAACCCAGCCACTTTTATCTGGTGCTCAAGCAAAAAAAAAAAGTCTCTAGATACCAGAGAAAAGCCAACTTGGTTGGACTGATTGCAGTTTCTACATGGCCCCTCCTGTGGGGTTTGAAGGGTAATTTTGACCATATGTGCATGTTTCCTTACACCTTCTGAACACTTTATTGTCATGTGGTAGTGATGTACTGGTGCAGTCTCAGGTTGGAGTACATCTAGGGACTAGGGGCTAAAATAATTATTTTGGTTGAATTTTGGTAAGAACATGAGGTGTTGAATGAGCATTCCATCTGTGTCCATGCAGAGATGGTTTCAGAGGTCAGCCTGGGTTTCTCCATGTTCCAGTGTCCTTTGTGGCTCTTTGCCTTTGGAATGTACAGAGATCATATGTTTTGAGACTACCAACCTCATCAGCACCAATGGGGAAGGGTTAATGAGGATAATGACTCATATTCTGTGTGGAGAACATTGTTGGACCAAAAGTACTTCCAGCAAATGTTTTCATAAGTTCAGATATTAAGAACAAGTCTCTAATTTGTGTTTGATTTTTGTTTAGGTAACTACTCCAGACCCCCAACATACAGTGGGGTGCCCAGTGCAAGCTACAGCGGCCCAGGGCCCGGCATGGGTGTCAATGCCAACAGCCAGATGCATGGACAAGGGCCAAGCCAGCCATGTGGCTCCATGCCCCTGGGACGAGTGCCATCCGCAGGCATGCAGAACAGACCATTTCCTGGAAACATGAGCAGCATGACCCCCAGTTCTCCTGGCATGTCTCAGCAGGGGGGGCCAGGAATGGGGCCACCAATGCCAACCGTGAACCGTAAGGCACAGGAGGCAGCTGCCGCAGTGATGCAGGCCGCTGCGAACTCGGCGCAAAGCAGGTATGCTGTCGGGCGGGCGGTATGCGCGGACATGTGCGCACGCGCGCAGCCGGAATCGGTCATCCCGTCAGTGGGGGTGGAGAGCAGTAGAGGGCCGCTGTGCTCGGCCACCCCTTTTGGGTTACATGTATCAGGAAGGCCAGAGAAGCAAATGGCACACTGTGTTCTACGAGACACGGAGGAAGGAATCAGTCATGGGCGGTTATTTGAAACGGCTGAGAAGAGCCACTGCACCTAGCCACCCAGAGCCAGTGGTACAGGGCGAGTCTGTGGTTCCGTTTAACACAGCGAGGCTTAGGCAGGAGACTGTAAAAGCCTAGAAACTGGCCCAAATCTAAACATTCAAAAAGAACGCCTCCCTTTTTTGCTTTTAACCTCACAGTAGAAATCCTTATGAAATAGAAACGTTGTATGTGCACATATGCGTATTGTGTGTGTTTGTCTAAATGTATACGTGTGAGATTTATTGCTTCATGTTCTTAAGTTGTATTTTTATTTTTCTGGGCATATGTTTCTCTCCGTCCAAACCAAAAGGCAGTTAGCAAAACAAGGATTGTATTTCTGAACGTTTAAGTTGATAGAGCAAGGCTTTAGCCTCAATTATTTACTTGTTTTTAATCCTGAAAAAGTCTTGAAGTAAATACTCGACCTGTTTTAAAATAATTGAGTTAAAAGTTCATGAGACAAAGTAACTATATTTTAAAAGACCCACATGAAAAAATGTTTGAATTTTGTTTAACATATGTTAAGATGTTTAAAACAAAGGACACTGAAAGATATGCAGTCCATGAGGTCGCAGAGTCAGACATGACTGAGCGACTGAACAATATGGTATCTTCAGGAGAAAAGATAGAAGATTCTGATTTTGTCAAGGGGGAATAAGAGCTTGTGTGTGTGTGTGTGTGTGTGTGTGTGTGTGTGTGTGTGTGTGTGTGTGTGTGTGTATGTATAAATGTATCCTGTTGTTACTTTTCCTCTGAAGCTGCTATTTGAGAATGTTAGGGACCCTTCCAGTCTCACTATTTGCTCTACAAATAATAAATTTCCTTTGAGGAATCAAAATGAAAGTCAGATTCTCTCTTCTTACCCCCTCCCCCCACGTTTCTCACTCTTATCCATGTTACAGTGACTTAGAATCTTCTGAACCCTGGCACTATACCTCTGAACTGAACCTATGCAGGCTGCAGAGAGAATGTTTTAATATACCTGTCTGTGAGGACTGGTTGGGCCCATTCAGTTGAAGTTCTAATTTAGGTTTAAATGAATTGTCCATTGTCACAACTCAAAAAAAACACAAGTTATTTTCTTTTTAAGGAGAAAATATTTGATTGCATTTGACATGAAACCTTGAGTAGTGAGCTGGGAAGACAGTAACTGTAGAGATTAAGGCAGAGTTGTTTGATGAAAAAGCTTTGCTGTGTTCCCTTCCTGAATCAGTTTATATATAATTTTATATAAATTAATGTATACGTATACATCCAAGCAGTTTCAGTTCCTTTTTCTAATCAATAGACCATTCCAAAGTCTTGCCTTCATGTTCTGCCCATCAGAGCTCTAATACGGAGTATCAGGCCACCCTCTATAGCCACCACACCTTGGTGTGGAAATAACGTAATGGACAGGGGGATTCATACTTGTCTACAGAACAAATCCAAAGAAGCTGTTCTTCTGTTCTACTTTAGGCCACCATACATTAGGTCGCCTGCTTATCCCAGCCAGTCTGGGGCTGGCGGACGCCCCATGTTTTCTTCCCAGCACCCCAACTATGGCAACTCTCAGGCTCCCATGATGCACCAGCCTGACCAGTACGGGTAGGTAGCTGCACACCCTGACTTGCTGCGGGACCTGGGCATTTGTTTAAGCTGTTAATGAACATGCCATCTGGCTGCAAAAGGAACACCCAAAGCAGGAGCGTGAAAGACCTAAGAGAAGATCCATCTCAGAGGGGGTTGTCTTTTGTTTATTTTGTTTGTTTCGGGTTTTTGTTTGTTTTGTTTTGTTTTTTTCATCTTCCCCGGCAATACTGTGGTAGTTTGGTAGAGATCTGCATGTCGCCCCCCAGATCCTGTCTCTGCATGGCTTCGGCATGGCTTCTTTCCTTCGTGCCTGAGAGGGAAACAAAATCTTTTATCCACGTTAAAATAATGAAGTCACCTACTCCGGCGTCATGTCCCCCACTGTTGTCGTCGTGTTGTCTAGGACTTGTGTTGTGCAGCACCGTTATCATGACTGTGTTACTGTCATTCCTGCCACAACAGCGACCTGCTCCCACACACCCCCTGAATTCAGAGAGCAGCGGGCTCATTGACGAAAGCCCCAGGCAGGAGGCAGGGCTGAGGTTATTAATAGGAGGAGGGTCTAGTGACATCACTGAGCAAACATCTGTATCAAAGATTTCTATTCTTCTCCCAAGAAAGATTAGAATATCAAAGTCACTGGGAAAATACAACCAAATAATCCAACACAGGATTTTTTTTCCCAAACACAGTGTTGCCATATTGTGATGTTTCAACACAGGAATTACATACAGCAACAAAAAGTATCTCTCTTCTTTCCTACTACAAAACTGTAATATCAGGCTGTCACTGTCTTTAGGTTAGTAAATAATCTTGAAGTATATTGAGTGTTTAAGCAAAAATACTGTTAGTGATCTTATTTAACATATAGTAATGATGAGATTATCTCCTGTAGATTAAATTGTGTTTAGGAGCTAGTTTCAATAGAAAGATACAACAGTTTTGTAAAATAAAAAACAGGGAACAATCAACTAACTTTGTTTAAAGACTGAACTTACAGAATTGTGTTTTCACTACTCGTTATGAATGTATGACACAGCTTTTTAATAGCTTTATATTCTATACATGTAGTTAGGCAACAAGTGCAAATGATAATTTTGCGATTGAGAGTTCTAAATCCTATAAACATGGTCCTAATTGTCCCAACAAATAAAGAATTCTGTAAACATAATCCTAAAGTTGAAATAAGTATGGAATGAGGTAAACATACTTATTTTGGAGAAATTGCCTTTCATCTTTTTTCCTTTCTCATGCTACATTCAAGGTCACTTCCTGAGTTGGTAGGAAGATAAGAAGGGAGAAAAGCATTTATCATCAGCTGCTAATCCATAGGCTCTGTCCTTTACCAACTCAGGAGTCCTATTTAGACCCACAAAGCTAGTTTGGCTGGGCCTTGCCAAGCCACATTAAGCAGCTGTGTAAAATGAATTTAAATGGCATGCATCAGAGTAAAATCTCTTCCACTGGGGCAGAAAATCAATGTTCGCCAACCAGCACAAGAAGATCAGATCTGCATTTCAGCCAGCAGCATCCAGATAGCTTCCTCAGAATACAGCACCTCCTCCTTAATTAAAAATAAGGAAAAGAAAGATGTTGGCGTGAGTCCGTAAATCATATGAAACCCACTTGGCAAAGGCTCATCTTTGCAGCCCCATTCCTGTTAGCTCTGAATTTTGCCGTTTGTGTTTACACTGTTCTTTCTGAAAAAGAAAGAAAGTTTTATTTCTATTTTAAATCTCCCTTCCTTTGCAGTATATATAACCTGTTGTGCCCCACCCCCTTTTTTTATAGCAGAAGCTTGAATGTGAGAAAACATGTGTAGTACATGTTTCAGTGCTGGCGGTTAGGAAATTTGATTTTCAGCATCGTTTTTGCTTTACCTAACACCACCTTGCAGCAAATTGTGTTTTTGCTTTTGTTTTCTCTCCTCATGGATAGCTCTGTGAGGTTAAAGTTAGGTTGGCAACTTGAAAAGGCAGTTCACCAAATGGCAGTTTTTAGGGAAGAAGTAGCTCAAACCTTTCAAAAACACAGTGTTCAGAATTTGTTATAATGACTTCTTTCTCAAGTCAGAATCCTGAAAGGCCTAAAGCCTATGAGGGAATCTGAGAAAGACAGATTTGAGATGAAGGGAGGGAGTGAGCATGTGAGAGAGAGAGTGTGTATGGGTGTGTGCGTGCATGTGTATTTAGAGACAGAAAGCTAACTGCAGAAATGAAGGATTATGGCAGTTATGCTTCAGAGTTTCTCAACTAGTTGGATATAAGATAGTTTAGAGAAAAAACAAAACATTTAACTAGTTTTACTAATTCCTTCTCTAAGGGTGACACTGAGCATAAAACTGCTGCCTTGAGTATTTAAGGAACATATGGATGAATCAATTTTTGTCACCTTTTGAGTGAAGGACTCCCTCATTTTGATTTTCAGACAATTTACAATAGTATGTTTTGAATCTTATTGTTCAGTTACTAGGTTAGCTGCATAATAATAGTCAGTAAATTGAAATGAACAGTTTGTATGTAATATCTGTCCAGGCTAGCCCCCCATACACACTTGATATACTTTTTACTCAGAAGATGCCTTGCCGTATTCAGTTTTAAAACATTTCTAGATAATGTTCTGTTCTTTTGAAGCCATGAGAAGCAGAGAGTGGGAAACATGAGTTGTCATACTAAAAGCCTAGTCAGAGCTGGCAGATGACGTTCATATTCAGTCCAATTCTGACGGCAGTGTGTAGCATCACTTTGGAAGAATTCTGAGACATTGTCGAAGCTCAGGCGAGCCAAAGTTGGCCAGCAGTTTAGGAAAGATGTTGACTTACTGCTTCTAAGGAAGCATTTCCATGAATCCCAAGCTGTAACATAGTCCTTCCTATATGTTGAATGATTGACCTCTATGCTTAACACACATATACACACATGTGAAATCAATTTTCCTTTGTCATTTAGTGTGTTTTGCTTTCATTCATTCATTCTAGGTGCCACCCACCTGGTATTGTCCAGCAACTGACACTTTTGCTCAGTTCAGCTGATCTGTGGATTTGGATATTTCTGCATTATCCAGATTTTTTTTTTTCCTTAGAAATGAGCTCCAAGGAATATGCATGACTTCAGTGAATTTACAGAAGGCCTGGCAAGCCCTAGATCTTTAGGCCATGGTAGATTTTGATTCCTTGAAGTCAGCTAGCCCGAGCACCTCCTGTAG